TTGTTAGTGTATGTGTGTGTTCCCGCTCGGGTGTTTCAACTCAGCAACCAAAAAAGCTCTGAAGCTGAAATTTTGCCATTGGATTTCTTGGCCAAGTGTCACCCCAGGACTGCGGTACCAAGTCCTCATGCGTGTCTGGGGCCTGTATACGACCGCGAGGAAGTTTTGGCAGGAAAACTTGTAAATCGGGGACCAGAAAGGCGGGGCTGAAACTTTGAGGGAATATTCCCTGACCAGATACCACGTAATTGCACATTTAACTCCCTGAATTTCTAGGACCAGTATGCCACAAATTCTAGCTACTAGGACTTCAAGCGATCTTACATAACACGAAGTGCTGCAAAAACATTTCCATTTTTCAGTGAACTGAAAACTTGCATTTTTTCGAAGAGCGGACATTTACCAGAAAAACGACCGGACTTCGTGCAAAAAAAACTGATAATCATGTAGCTGGAGATCCACGCTGTCTTATAATGCAACACCTTCATCCCAACCGACGCCCTTTGTGCTGCATGCCGAAAGAGGCCAGAGCACGGCCAATATGTGATCGTGTTAGGCTACAATGCAGGTATCATTCCTGCTATTAGTGACCTGTGAGTTTAGTGCAAAAACGCATGATCGGGCTGGCAAGCCTGCTGCGTTCCAGCCTGAGTTTACACGATGGAATCATGCAAGAGCGCATGATCACACCGGCAATCCTGATGCTTTTCTACCTGAGGTTCGATTCAGAATATCAATTTCCAGTCACACTGCTTTTATAAGCAGTTTTAATTCTTTTGTCCGTGCTGGTGACTAAAGAGTTGAATTGCGTAGAGGGGCAATAAATGAAATTGGCCTAGCTATGTCTAGTTAAGAGGTCTTGGATTTCATGGCCCACAAACATACCTTACGAAAAGTGGTGCAGCATGTATTTGCAGTATTGTCGCATCGTTCAGATTTACTGTCGCTTTCATCATGAAATAAAACGCTTCGATGTAATTTTAGGAAATATGAATTTCTTGTCGGATATTTTCCAGCTGTACTGGCCCAGCTGGAGTATCCGGATGAAGTTAAAAGTGGGAATTTCACATGAATTTGTTGTAAAATTTTCTTTCAGCTCGTACAAGAACACAATATCTTGGGAAAAGCTAGTGGAAGAGCTGGAAAGTCGTGGAGTCTTGCTAAGCGAAGAGAAAAAAATGTACGAAGAGAAGCTTCTGGCTGAAGCGCAAGCTCGTGAGGAGGAACACAGCCGTTATTTGGTGCGAAAAGCTTTGTTAGCTTTGAAATTTCATTTACATGTAGATTTTATTCAATGAAGCAAATGCAGGTTTCACAATTCTATCTTCCTTCCTTTGCTGCTGGTTAAATTTTCAGTTAAATCACTGGTCTATTTGCGTGATTCTTATTGTTCCCGTTCTAGATCCCATGCTCACAGTTATTTAGTTCGTCCTCTCCGGTACAGTAATTTTGTCGAAAGATCCTTATCTGTATCTAAACTCTTATCGGGTTTTGTATTTAAACTCATCTACACTTCGGTTCTTTCAAAAGAAAGGATGTCGAAGCGAGTATGAAATTTTAGCGGGGTTAATGGCCATTCGAAAAAGTGTGTTTTCAAACATATACTTGTAGTGCCTAGAGCGAGCAAAAGACGAATTGGAAAAGGAACGGGAAAGGCTGATTCGAATGACTAAAAAATTAAAGGATGACCTGCAAAGTGTAAAAAAGTAAGTTTTACATTTTTTAAACTCTCAAATTTAAAATGCTCATGTTGCGGGTCGAGAAAAGTTGCAACTGCAGTTCCGTGTCAGCAGGCTGGTTAATGGTCCTGCTTTTACAGACATCTTAAGAAGTAACCGAAAAAGGTCTGAGTCTTTAAATTGTGCCCGGACACGATAGTACTAATTTTTTTTTTCAAAACATTTCATATAGTTTTTATTTGGGCGTCTGGGCAAACAAGCCGTAGAGCAACATTCTTTCGGTCACTGTACTGTCACACAAACTTTCGTTCAGCTCCTTACAACTTACAGTTTAAGTACAATCGGCCTCATCTGTTGCCTATTCACAACTCTTTTTTCTAAATTTTTGCTGTGACCGCATGTGATCATTTGTCATTCATACGTAACAGCAATTTATAATTCGTTGTTGGCTGATACTGGTAGAAATTTTCGTATGAACGACGTGACTGTATTTTAAGCGAACTTAAAATCACCAATGAAACAAAGCGAACGCTGGAGCAAGAGAAGATTTCGCTAAATGCAAAAACGGAACATCTTGTCAGCAATATGCAGGTCAGCATACTGTCCAGTGCAATCGAGATTTGTTAGGGAACCTTTTTCAGTTTTAAAAACAAATAAACTTAAAAACTTCTTTTGCACAGAGTCATTGACCATTTTGCATGTTGCACATACTCGTATTAGTTGGTTGCGACACAACTAGTCTAAGAGGGAAGCAATCCGCAGTCTTACAAACGAGTGGTTCCTGCGAACAGCACGATACCAGACCGGTTAGTTTTCAGTGTTCCGCCTCTCGGAAAGAATGAAATGCGGGAGGGATTTTTACTTTTAGTAGCATTTACCTGA